CTTGGCTGAGGGCATTGGGGAGCATTAGACAGCATAAAGCTCTGCACCCGGTACACATGCTATTGAAACTCAAGGAAAACTTTAATTTTTTTTTTCAAATGGGGAGAAAACTCCTGATCTTGTGCTCACGTTGCTCTGGATTTATGCCCACAAGCTATCAGATGGAAGACAAATGACAGTGCTGTTATTTCAAGCAGTTTAATGATTCTGGCAAAAGACCTGGCAGCAGACTCCAAAGATTTCATCTAGGCAAGGCAATGCCTATTCCAAGAGTGGAAATCTTCAACTGGAGAGCTGGCAAGTGCATGTTTGTGCTGGAGGCTTAAATCAATCATTTCTATTTTTCCCAAAGTGATTTAGCAAAGTACAGAAATTGGCTCCTTCATCAATGGCCACAGGCCACTTTTCACATTTAAGGTATTAGTGCCATGGACTAGAGTGATATATTGACTCCATGTAAAGCAGTCAGTGTTAGCACCACCTGTTTAATCATTCCTTTACAGTAGCTGTAGTTTAAAAACTGTCAGCAAGTGCCTTGTTGACCCTGTCAAAAAGGAGCCCAGGAGACCACTGTACATAACTGGTCCCCTGGAGTAATTGCTCTGTGTTCATGCAAAACTTTCCTACCACCACAATACATTTCTGAGTCTGCTGCCCAACAGCATCCCTCTCATGGCTACCTTGGGAACTGACAGATTCCTCTGGGACTGATGCCTGAGTCCATTAGCAAGCAAAATACTGATGGAGATTTGTACTATGAAATGCACTTTGAAAGTCTTGGACAAGCTTTAGGGGCCTAACTGTGAAACTGGGATTTAGACTAAATAAAAAAACCTACTCAGCAGCCACCTAATCCTTTACTTAGGCCTGGAGATTCTTGAGATTCTGTGGACACCAAAACTGTCCCTGCTTACTCTGTGGTAAGCAGAAAGTAAAGGGAATGTAATCCAAGACTGCAGGTTTACACAACTTCCTTGCTGAGCACTATCTAGAAACACTTCCCAGGTGATGGAAATACTCTGGCAGTACTGTATCTTCTTATCAGAGCAACCTGTGTTGTATAGATATCACACTGTCCAATTTGCCTAAAGGGAAGACCTTGCAAGAGCTCTGCATCAAAGACAGTACATGCCCAAGAGGCATTGATATGAGGCTCAAGGCATCCCATTTAGCATGTCTCAAAAATATGTTTATGTGCATCTCCAGGGGCCAGATTTGCTACATGTGCTCTGAACAGATTTAGCACATGGCAAGAGGACAAGGATCCTTCCTACATGGTCAGGAGTGCTTAATATGTAGTGATTATTTGCCAGTGCTGTCTCCTTTTATGTCATAACTAAATGGTTACATCAGCCAGGTGCTTGGGAGGTGCCTCTACAAATTCTCCAGCTTCAAAAGGTTGAAGCATCTCCCATCTGCCAAGGGAATTTTGTATTTCCTCCCTGCTTCTCTAGGCAGAGAACAATCATCCTTCACTCCCAAACTGATGGGAAATAAATAAAAAAGCAAAACCCAAACTAAAACCACAACAAAATTATATGAAATCACTATTTATTCACTGATGTCCCTGACTCTGTCCCAGAACCCAAAAACTCAGGATTTCTCAAACTCTTGAGAATGGAGACCACTAAACATTTCTCTATATTTTGCTCCTGAAATGGCCTTGGTTTGTAAATCTTCCAGCTTGGCTCTCCAGTAACAATTATGATCCTTAGCCTCTATCTCCTTTCAGCTAGTTGCTAACACAGTCCAGCTGATTTCTGGAGAAGGAATGAACAAACAAATTTGAACAAGAAAAATGTCAAGCCTCAGAGGACAGTAACAAAAGGGCACACTGACAGACAGCTCAGTCTAATCATCTGCACCCCAGTGTTATAAAAGGGAGATTTTTCTCTGCAAGCAACCATCGATCCTGCATAAAGAGGCCTGGAAGGAGATATTGCATGGCTGAGAACAGTTTGAGTATAGAAGACCTTTCAGTCCATCCTTTCAGCACTGTTTACACACCTTATTGCAAACAGTCACTGAAAATAAAAAAATTAGCCCTTAGAATCCTTTATAGTCAGACATGTGTCCGGGCTTTTAGCTGACCTTGGGACACTGCTGGTTGCCACAAGCTGCTATCCTAGCCCCACCTGGGGCCCTTCATCACTCCATATACACAAGCCAGTGAGTTTGGCACCTAAGAGACTTTCAGAAAGCTCTTAGCTGCTTTTGGGGCATGGTGATATAAGAAGAGTGATCTTAGCAGAATGCTTGGCATATAGAGAATCTCCTCAGGAGAGAAATAATATTATGGTTCCCCTGAAGGAAAAGAGGTCTCACTCCCTCTTCCCCTTTTCACATCTGTCCCATCACATGTTCCAGTCTGGTTGGGTCAGCTCAGAGAGCCACCCCAGCAAGGAGAAGGATGCAGATGCTTTCTACATGGATGGGTGAGCAGAACTGGCCCTAGGAAGCCACAGGACCTCAGAGCTGGGAAAAAGAGGATGAGCCTTTTGGCAGCGCTGATCCATTCAAGCAGCTTGCCAGGTGCATGAAACCACAGGTTCAAAGCACAGAAATTCAAACCCTTATAAAGTTTGTCCTCTTTCCTTTGGTTTTAGGTGACCAGTGCCCTTCCATGCAAAATGTGAGTCTGCCAAAAGCTGGGCTGGAACAAGTAGGAGGGAACCAGCCCGCCAGGTGAACACCAGGCCCCTCCCAGGGGCAAACAGACAAATCCAGTCCAAAGTTTATTGTTTGCCAGCTGAAACTGTTGGTAAATGAATCCTGATATTTTACAGCAAAAATTAAACAGTCTTGCTCTGCTCCAGAGCTCCCATTTCCAGGCCCCTGGCCAGTTAATACTTCATCTCTTGCTGCAGCATGACCAGCAGTGGAGCAAGCACTAAATGGGTCCTGCTGGTCCTGGTCTGTCACAAATCCCAAGCTGGAGCCTGAGGCACCACGTGAGACACTGCCTGCCTACCACACCTTCTCCTGGTTTGATTTCTGCAGATCCCATGGAGGATCTGTTCAGGAAAATTCAGTCTGCAGGCACAAGTTTTGCAGCTTATCTGGCCCACATTTTTGATGTCAGGAAAAGCACTGCAAGAAAAGAACTCCTTATTAAGGAGAAGGGCTCCAGATATGTTGTTTTACCAGTGCAAAGGCTTTTCTTTTAGCAGGCATTTGTCTGTGGTGTTTTCAACCTAAGTATGGCAAGCAGAATCTGAAAATAACACTGGTTAGAAACTGATTCCTGAAACAAGTCATGTCCGATTCTTGGCAGAGCAGTAACGAATTCTCATAACTGAGTTTTTCCAATTCTGTAATACATTAATTAGTTGGAATATGTTAACATCTCAAGGATCATATCAAATCACAAATTTCAATTGCACATAATTTCTACCAGTGTTTTGGTCCACAAATTATTTTGAAATACACCAGAGATAAAATAAAATACTTTAACCCTTATAATTTTTTAATAAAACCATAGGAAGAAAAAAAAACATTGTTCAAGAAGAAATCCAGTAATTTAAAATAAATAACTTTTGCCTCAGATTTTTACATTTGATTTATTGCTTTAAAGAGAAAATCCTACACCTGGTAACCTCTATTACCTCCTGCAGCCCTCCTGAGCCATGAAAACAGATTTCAGAAAGATGCCCAAGGCCATTAATTTAAAAAAAGCAACAATACCAAATCCTTTCACCCATTTGTTTCCCAGGTCACAGAATGAAAACCTGTAGGCCTCTTATTTCCATCTTTAGCACATACTCTCACTTGAGACTTAGCAAGCAGCTTAAATTTGGCTTGCAAAAGAAAGACAGGCATGTCCTTGCTCCCTGGAGAAAGCATGTAAAAGTCATGTGCTTTTTTTATTTTAATCTTTAGAAACTTGAATTCAAGATGCTAGGCAGGAAAGGAAGGCCAAGCCAAGCAGGTGGTACCATAAGGTGCGGACACAGTGTCTTGTCCTGTGTCAGCTGGAAAAGCCCCACATTGAAAAACAGCTTCCCAAGTCCCCAAATGCCATAATTCCTGGGACATTGCCGCAGACAAAATACTGCAGCTCTGTGTGTGCTTTGCAGCATTTGGAATGAAACAGTGTTACTGGTCTTCAGCTGAAAATTAAATAAACAATTACTTGGGGAAAAAAACTAGACCTGAAACAAAGTACACACAGTCTATGGCCCCTACCCATTAGTGCCCCTGCACATGACTGCAGCTTAATTCAATCCCAAAACAAGACATGAACATTTTTCAAGAGCACTTTCATTTGTTTATGCAGGGGATGTGACCAAAACCCCTGTGCTGGCTGAGGTGGATCAATGGTACCACACAGGGATAAGTGCACCCATGAGGAATTCTTTGAAAAAGCTTTTTTGATGGGGTACTGGGACAAAGAGACACCAAGATGTCCCAAATCTGAACACAAAGCCTGTACTGTCATTGTTGCCATCACTGTTGGCTCTTCAAATCAGTGTGGAGACACAACCGTTTAATTAAGGGAAAATTGCACAATTACCGCAACTGTGGTCCTGTTTTTTACAGCCTTTCCTCATGCAGAATTACCAGTGTTAACAGGAGTTGCCCTACTTTTTTAGAGGTATTTTACCAAGACATACCAAGAGAGGAACCCTGGCTACCCCACTTCCTCTGAAGAACCATGCATTTTCTTCGCTAAAACCTTCTTTTGCTGAAAACAAAAGCTAAAACTCAGGCCAGACTGTGCTAAGAGATCCTAGAGCCCACCCCAGTACAGCCCAGTGCACAGGACTCCTCTGGGAGGATGTAAAATGTCAAGTACAGTACCCTAATCCTGCCTGGGCTGGGCACCTCAAATGTGTCCCTGTGCCCATGTGCCTGTGGTCATGGCAAACATTATCTTCCCACTGCTCACACAAGTACTCATTTCCTTGGAGGATAAGAGAATTTATCTGATGGTAGGAGATAATCAGGATTGTTCCACACCCAATACAAAATTATTTTTGCTTTTTAGTAGACACAACTCTATTTGTTTATACTTCATATATACTTACAGTTTTGACTCCTGAAGAGGAATGAAAGGATTTAAAAGGGATTATATATATAGCAGAATACTTTGAAATCACTTACAAAAATTCTAATTTCTCACATTTATCTTTAAACATTTACACAGATCTGAGGAGTTCCAAAGGGGAATTTTTATAATCCTGTTCTGTGCTCATTGCGTTTAAAAGCAATTAATACTCTAAAAATGTCCTCAAGAGGCATTGATACTAGAAGAATATTCCATTTCATTAATGGTGATTTGGTTTTTGTTAAGGCTTCCTTTATCTTTAGGATACATTTGATACAATCATGGGATAAATTAATTAGGATTAAATAATACTATGTCTCATCAACATACAGGAGTTCAATGTATACTTGAATATGTTCAATAAAAAGGTGCTACTGATTCTTGTTCCAGTGGTGTTCCTCCTGTTAACTGGCATGTAAAGTGCTTTCTTCTTTCAGCTTTGCCTTTTCACCAAGTCATCTTCCTTATTCAGTGTGCCATAGCATGAACAATGAGAATCTGGTTGTATTTTGCCTGTCAGATTTTCTCCTAAGGAAATGTGGTGAGAGAAGGAAAAAACAACAACTTTGTGAAGAATTTTAATAAAACATTCCCCACCAATCCATCATTTAAACATTCTTTGCTCCAGTAATCATTGTTTTCATTTGACTAGTTGCAACAATAGCTTGGAAAAACCCTGAAAAATTCTTTGAAAAATCTGTTAGGAACAGGAATAGAAATCAAGTGAACAGTATATTTATTAAATATGACTAGAGCATATTTGTGACTCAATTCTCCTAGGTCATCCCATTATCTGATACCTCATTTAAACAGAGACAGAAAAAAAGCCCTACTTACCAGGAATATGTCCACAGTCAATAAAAGGGATTTGTAAATGCTCCTCTTTTTTATTTCTTGCAATTATAATCACACCAAGGAAAGACAGGAGACACCTGCAAAATAACAGTGGCACAGTATCATTAGAAACAGTTCACTGTATCTGAGATGAGAATTTCTTTCCATGTTTCTTTTTCAAGGACTTCCAAACCCAAGTTGCTGAGTTTATAAAGAAACACTTCTTCCTGGCAGCTCTGTAAATTTATTTTGGGCTTCTTTCAGTCTAGTTTTGCCTCCTGAAGCTTTATTATCAGTTCCAAAGACTCCAGAGCCAAAATTACACTTCCAGCAATATATACCTAATCAGATGCCTGTGGGTGTGAGACCTCAACATTTGAATCCCTGAGCAAATCTTCCCCGAGCATCCAAGCTAGCATTCTAGCATGTGCAATTTCATTAACAACTCAGTCTGGCTGCGGACAGTCGACATCTCTGTTGTTTTTCTTGTTTGATTGCGTGTCTCAGGGGCAGGCTGTACGCCAGGAACAGTGAAAAACTGCTATGGCTGGACACATCTTCTATCTGCTGTGTGTTGGACACACAACCCCTAACTCCTAGCTGCCAAATACATGGTTGCTCATCTCCATGTTTTGTGTCCTTTCCAGCAGACAAGATAGTGGCCGTGTGCACCTACTCCAGCCCAGCTGCAGAAGATGAAGATGTCTGTAGCTATCAGCCCCATTTATTTGACAGCACTGTGTGCAAGACACCTCCAGCAGTTCTAGGAGATCTTTTAAACATTTTGTGCCCATTATTATTACTGTCACCTCTCCCAAAAGTTGTTGTGGTGCTGATACCCGTGTTTCTGCTCTCACAACACCTAGGCCATTCTTCAAAAACATATTTAGCATGCTCTGAATTTTTCTGCAGGCACACTGTGTTTTTCCTGACACAGGCAGATGGGGGAGAGTTACTATAGTACTGCCTTGTAGGCAAGCAGCTCATATAATTGCCCATGCCTAGGGGCAGGAAAAACCAGCCAGACACACCAGGGGAAGCTAACATGGGAGGAGATGTCTCACAGCTGTGAAAGCACCCCCTATAATTTGATATTTGGTGGAGAGCAGTGACTTCTCCTTCCTGCTGAAGGAACAGATGATGCTGGTTTTTCATTCCATCATGAGATTAGTAGTTCACAAGTGTCTCACATTTTTACATATTTGGATTCAACGCCAGGCCTCCAAACTCCCAAAGCACAGACATCAATCTTTCCTTTAATGTTTTTTTTATCCCACTATAATGGCTATTCCATAATACTTTAATAACAAGGCGGTTTCTCCTTACTGAGAAAAGAAGAGATTGCACAAGGCAGTGCCATTTCAGTACAAACCTTAGTGCAGATTTTAGGCTGATACACTCACCCGAACAGAAACATGAACACGCTCGGTAAAGCTGCACTTTGGAATTCCCGATAAAATATGACCCCTGGAATGTGACAGAAACAAGAATTGCAGATCTTGACTGGATTCCAAGTGATATGAATTACAGCTGGGAGGGTCAGAAGAAGTGTCATGCTTAAACAGAGCAAAAAAAAAATCCCAAATAACGTATTAATACACATTGTGATGTGTTCACTTTATGTCCTATATTCCATAATCTAGGCTTTCTCAAGATACTGCATAGGGCTGGAGAAGATTTAGTCAATCAGGCTGGAACACGTGCTGGGTTAGTAATTGCACAGATGCATGTATCTTTTGCATTGTCAGCAACAATTTCGGTGCAGGTCAAACTCGAGGTCTTACTCACAAGCAGCGACATACCAACACAGCTGAGAGGTTCTTCATGGACTTCGTTAAGCTCCTCCAGCAGAGCATGTGGACATCTTAACTCCAATTGGGAACAGATTTTCAATAACTAACTGTGTCCCTGAGGTTTACTCCAAGTGAAGGGCTCCAGCAGCCAAGTTTGCCAAATCTTTCTGGCTGAAGGGATTGCTAGCTCTTTCTGGTCGCCCCTCTTCCAGGAATTAGCACCTCTGTAGTGGAGGTGACAGAACCAGATGTGTATCTGGATCTCAGCTGCCCCTATTAACAGCCAAGTATATTAGCTTTAAACCACTGATGAGCACAGCTTTGCTTAGAAATGCCAGTGGGACCCAGTGCAGCTGAAGTGTGACTGTGTCTTCAAAGGCTGTAACTAGGGATGGGGAAATCATGACACCAGTACCTTCTACAAGCACCCCAGCAAGATTCAGCAGAGGTTGCTTTTCTAAGCCCTACAGTGGTTTAACTAACCTGGTGCAAATGCATGTGTATCCACTCTCAAAGCTATTAAGCCATTCCTGAATAGGTACTTGATCTTATAAGGAGGCACCAGGCCAAATTCCCCATATGGTCACAGGAACACAACCCCCTTTTGGCACAAGTTTCTTCTCGGTCACAAAGTGTAGGTCTCTTCTAACACAGGTGTTGAGGCAATCTGTGCGTGAAGCTAACTCCCCTTCTCATTAATGGCAGCTCTGCATGAGAAACTCCTGCACAGCAATGACAGGAAAGCCCCCAGCGTGTGTTAAAATGAGTCATAAATGTTCTAACAACATGATCATTTTGGCTCATTGCTGATACAGCATCTTAGTCGTCCTCCCAGCTCATGTTCTTGCGCTGCACACCATTTCCAAGATTTGCAGTCCCTCTTTAACAATGCTGAGTTCAAAGTTCTCACCCAGAATAAAATGTTAAATGCTTAAAAAGTTTTTGTAGTCATTTTATTTCCTTCACTTAACCCAGAATTCCACCTTCTGAAATGGAATATATGCTAACTACTATGAAGCACAGCTGGTTGTCATTTGAGTAGTTTGCCAGGCTGTTAAAATTACTCTACCAGTTCGTATAGGGAGAGACTGGTGTGCACATGGTAAATGCATTTACTGGATGTCAGTATGAGGCTAGGATAAATGCAGGTACTTCTAGTAAGCCAGCAAGGTACAGTGAATCACACATAATCTATTTTGGAAAGGTTAGATTTTGATTATTTTTATAGAATTATAGAATTATTTGGGATGAACCTTAAAGATGATCTAGCTCTAACACCCTACCATTTATCTTGTTTCAGAAGTTGTGAACTTATTTATTTTTCAGAATTTAAACACCTATGGCTTAGGAAAAAATTATTTCTATGAAGACAAATATGACAGGTTTGGGTTTCTATTCACAGGGTTCCTGTTCTTGAAAACCTGATGTTTAAAAAATCTTTCTGTAGAGGAAGAAGGTCAGAAACAAACCTGAAATGATGGCACTGGTGGTGAAGAACACAAAATTAATGGGGACAACTGCTGTTGCTTCATACAGATGCATTGCTTGATTCAAGAACCTGAAAGATAAGCATTATTGTATCTCATGCCTACAGGAGATATCTTGCACTTTAAGTCAGGTTAGCCCACTTCCTGTCAGTTTAACAATAACTGTGACCATTTCTTACCACAACAGCAAGTAGCCCTGGACAGCATACACATACTGAATTTACTTTCTGGTTTTGACTCTGGAGAGTACAAATGAATAGGCAAAAGCAAGAAGGTTGGCACGGATTCTTCTGGCCACAGGTTTTCAATGGACATATTTTTGAAGCATTGCTGGAAAAATTTTTTCTACCACAGATAAGGGAGGAATGCTGGGGTATTATTGCTTATGATCTGCATTGGTTCTTGGAAGCAGTGCTGCCTGCCAGCAGCCAGGGACAAGTTGCTCTAATTCAAACAGGTTGTGTAAGGGTACATTGCCATCATGGACATGAACATGTGAGTTCCTGTAGGAACTGTTTCACTTTGCTGAAGTCCACACTGCTGCTACTGCTCACTCCAGCTTGACAGAAACACCTATTTGTATGTTTATCCATGCAACCACATCCAGAAACCCCGTCCTGCAGGGAAAGTCCAGGAAGGTGGCTTCAAGCCCCTTGGGTTGGAAACTCTCTGTCCTGCTGTTCCAAAAGGCAACATGACCTCTCACCAGAAACATGAGCAAGAGTGTGCAGGACTTCAGGAGCATGCATTGCACACAGACCTGCAGGACTGAGACACTGGCCAGGGAGCAGCCTGCACAATCTGCAAAAAGGCATTAACCCACTTGTACAGAGACCACAGCTATCACCATTCACCCACAGAGTGATGAATCATGAGCTGACATCGTGGATGCACCTGTAGATATTCTGTTATGTGAATGGTCATTTCAGAGAGAAAAATCAGGAGTCTGCAGACTATATTCAAGCCTGTAAAAAGAACCACACTTGAACATTTCTCTGGTGCAATATACGCACACAGTAAAAATCCAAGCTTGGATCTGTTTTAGCCATTAAAATAATTGCGTGGTTATTTTAGCAACTGTTGAACAGTCTCCATGGTGCTTTAAAAATAAAGAAATCCTACATATCCACAGGATAGTCAGGATTTTGAAGTCATTGAAAACACCTCATTATTTTTTCCCATTTGCAACAAACTTGGTCACAGGGACTAAATCAGTGATAGCAAGGCCCCGTGTTGGATCCAGGAGATTGTTGCAGCACAGGCTGTTCTCAGCTAATGAATGACAGTCATATAAAATAAGAGAGCAAACAAATAAAATGAAAAATTTAGACTGACAGCACTGTCCCTGTTAGAAAATGAATCTAAAGGAGTAGAGAGAAAGGGATGCTGAGCCCACGGAATGAAATGGGCACATTCACTTCTGCTTTAATTTTGGCCAGCAAAAGAGGGAAAGAAAAAAACGACAAGATGGTGAGGTTAATTCAGCAGCTTCTTATTTACCAAGCTCTTATTTCCTATTGTAAATGCCCTGAGCTGTTCTCCCAGCGAAGACAAGCCGGATGTAAATCACTTTATAATCTGTTACCAGGGAGTTCCTGAGTCAGCCATGGAGAGTCAGTGCATAATAATGCATGGACTTTCTGATTCCACATGGGAATGGTATGTTCTGCCATGAAAAAGCTGGGCTGGCTTTTCCACCAGAAAATAATCATGCAAGGAACTACTCAGGCTCACACTGGAGCAGTCTAGATGAGATTACTGAAGGCTGCTATCAGCACCAGAAGCAGAGGGACAGGCAGAAAGGGAACAGCCTCTGTTCAGCTGCAAGACATATTTTACCGTGCTGCCACCCCCAGCAATCTGCCCAGGCAGCACAAACCAATCACTCCACAGAGCACAGGCCTGCAGGGGAAACTTGAAAGGTATAGCCAGGCAGGATAGCAAAGTGCAACATGCAGATTTACCACAGGCAGGGAGAAAGTTGGGGTTCACTCCCTTCTCCAGTCTGACTAGGGTCATAAAGCTGGGGAACAGACATGGATAATGAGGATAATCACTGTCATTTGATTATTCAGCAATAAAGATTTCTAAAAGTAACCCCCAAACGACTACATAGGCATAAATTTCATTTAGTGTGTTAAGACCTGTGCCAAGACTAGACAAGTAAGTTTGGGAAGACCTAGCTGAAGGTGATAATGAGAGGAGGTGGTGTCCATAACAATCAATTACAAACTAAGAAATAAAGTTTAAATAAACAATACAACCAGCTGGAGGCAATTTTTGCATCTGCCAGGGCTCTGCCAAAATTTGTTGCCTTAATTTGCAACTTGTATCTGGAATCATTATCAGTACCAAATAAAACTGTCAGATAAAACATGTATGAAGGTTAGTAGGTAAGCGGAATCTCACTTACTTGACTTGGAAAGCACAAGACGTTGCCATTAAAATACTCATGATATAGAAAATGGAGTAAGTTAGCTGCATTTTCCCCTTCACAGAAAGTGCTATCATGCTGGACACAGCCTTAACAGCAATGACAGTCATGGATGCTGGAAGGGAAGGGAAGAGATTAGCAGGGCAGGACTCAGACTAGCACTTCAGTGCATCACTGAGGGAGGACAAGGATCCAGGCCAGAGCCACAGGGCTGATCACTTAAGATAAGACTGAGGAAGGACTTGGGCACCTAACACAAGTGTATGATTTGATAAATGCTTGCTAAGCTACTGTCTAAGCTCAGTGGCCTTAGATCCAAGTACACTTTGTGTTTTGCCTTTAAGCCTTTTTAGCAGACTGAACTCCCAGCTGAAGGTGGTACAACAGCCTCCACATCTTCCACAAATACTTTATTTAGCTCCACACACTTTATGTAGCTAATTTGGAGCCCATATTACAGCATTCAGGAGACATCTGAGAGGTCTGGCTATCTGTTCAAAGCAGTTAGGATGCCTCTTTATAGCAGCCTGCATGTGTCACTGGTAGCCTCAAATAACTCATCATCCTCAGGATTTCTCTTCTGAAACAGGAGCTGGACAAAGCTGACTTCTGGGATCACATCCCAAAGCACCTAAATCTCCCCTTGCATTATATATATGAAGAGCAGACAAACAACACAGGGGTCTGCACTTCATCTCAAGAGCCAGGCTCTTGAGACCATTTACTGGATTTATCCCACAGAAAGAGTATTTCAGTAGTGTATTGTCAATCCATTTAATCACTACCATTGTATCACCACAAACAAATTTCAGACAGCAAGCAATGGGTTTTATACATGTCACCAGTTCAGAGAGGTTTTGCAAGAGAAATCTTTCAGAAAAGGGGCTGAGAGTTTAGCTAAGAGTTACTTTAGATGTCCTTTTGGAGCTCTTGGTTTGTGGAAACTAACCCAAGAAGTCTGTGATTACTGCAAATGAAATGTAACAAATTAAAAAAACCCTGAAAAATTCAAGAGTCAGGCTGCAGAGATGACCTTTGAAGAGAGGTAATTAATTGTCAGAAGCAGCATCCCCCAGCTGAGATCCAGTTCCACCCTGGTGCAGAGCTCAGGAGTGTTGGATTTCAGTCTGATTCATCCTCCTGTAACATTGGGATTGGCAAGGAGACCTGTGCTGTGCAAAAGGTTCAGGCCAAAGGTTGGGAAAAAAGGAGGGGGAAGAAGAATGAATGCAGGTTTGAGGGTTTGATTGCAAGCATTTTTCTTATAGAAAGTCCAAAAGTTCAGAGGGAGTTTAAGAGTTGCATACATCCTATGATGATCCTGTTAATGATCACGAAATTCACTGTTTTCATGACAACCTTTCCCCCCAGCACTTCACTTCTTTCTCTGTAATGGAAACAGGTGAAGTGCTTTAACAAACACAGCTGTAAAACTGAGCAGAGGTCAAACACTGGCCTGCAGTGGTGCAAATGCTGTGATACAAAGTCAAAAATACACTCAAGCCCCAACAAGACATCAACATAAAACTGAGATTTGCACTCTAACATGGGGAAGTTATTATTTTAAAAGAACACTTACAGGTAAAAATTAGTGTTTTGAATTGTCATGCTAAGGGTAAAGATTGCAAATTTTTTTCTTTCTGATGGAAGGCCAGTTTCCACACCTTAAAATTTTAACAAGACAGAAATGAAAGCACCAGGAGGTTTGGTTGGTTGGTTTCTATTCTTTGAGAAGTGAAATTATCTTTTTCAGTAAAGTAACTCCAAAACAAGTTTCAAACCCAGGAGTTGTTTTCTCTGTCAGAATGAGCTCCCCTCAAAGCTAGTGTGACAAATGATGTCACTTTCCAGCTGTTAGAGCAGAGACCTCTGAAATCCCACTATAGTCTGAAATGTTTTCCCCAAATTTATGATAACTGAGTGTATACATGAGGTAAGATGATTCTCGCCAAAAGAATCTGCAGAGTTGTACTAACCAAAACTTCATCAGATTTTGTGATCACCTCTGTATTTTCTTGGTGGTGAGAGTAGCTTGCATATGCAGTGAAACACAAGGCTGCCCTCTCTGTAAAGAAACCTTTCCACATTTAATTTACATCATGGAGTATGAACACTCCACCAGGACTATATCACCTTCCATGAGCACTCACCCCTGCAGCAGGCAGGGCCTTGCAAGGGCAGTGCCTGTGTCACACACAGGCAAAGTAATGGACAATTTTCCAGCTCCTCCATCACTTCACTCAGCAGAAAGGTCAGAGACCAACCAGAGTGCTCCAAGTGTAGATTTGTGGGGACTGCCAGGCTCCAGGACAGCTGCAGGAACCAGTCAGATGCAGTTCTGAGTTTCATGCTCAAGGGAAATGTCAGTATTTCAGAAGGTCCCGTGAACCAGGATTTGCTTGTTTGTGTCTTTTTTAACAGAGCAGAAACAATGACACATTTTTCCTCAGGTTGCATAAGCTCACAAAAACCTCAGCAGCCCTTAGCTGAAAATGTATTTTTGGTTGGTTTCAGGCAGAGCAGCAGGCTGCAGTCAGTGCCTGCCAGGGCACGGGTTTGCAGCCCTGCTGCCACTCCACGTGTCCCTCGTGTCCCTCGTGTCCCTTTGCCACCGGGGCTGGCAGGACGCGGGGCACAGGCAGCAGGGCTGGCCAGAGCCACTCCCCCAGGGCTTGCTCGGGGCAGCATCACGGTGGGCCAGCCCACAACTGCAGCAGTGAGGTGCAGGAACACATCTGGAAACCTTCAGGCTTCCAGTTATGCAGGAGGAGGAGCTGGACCCGGTCCAGGACTGGCTGGACCTTTGCTCAGGAGTGCACAGTGCTCCACACTTCTCATGGCTGTGCTGGAAGCTGCAGAGCAGCTTTGCCAAGAAGCTCCAGGAGAGCTTTGCCAAAGCTCCAAGGCTCTGTGCTAGGAGCTGGGAATAGCCACACTCACCTGTGCCAGGAGCTGGGGACAGCCACACTGATCTGTGCTAGGAGCTGGGAATAGCCACACTGATCTGTGCTAGGAGCTGGGGATAGTTAATCTGTGCTGGGAGCTGGGAATAGCCACACTCACCTGTGCTAGGAGCTGGGGACAGCCACACTGATCTGTGCTGGGAGCTGGGAATAGCCACACTCACCTGTGCTGGGAGCTGGGAATAGCCACACTCACCTGTGCCAGGAGCTGGGGACAGCCACACTCACCTGTGCTGGGAGCTGGGGATAGTTAATCTGTGCTGGGAGCTGGGAATAGCCACACTCACCTGTGCCAGGAGCTGGGGACAGCCACACTCACCTGTGCTGGGAGCTGGGGATAGTTAATCTGTGCCAGGAGCTGGGGATAGCCACAGTTACCTCTGCTGGGAGCTGGGGACAGCCACACTCACCTGTGCCAGGAGCTGGGGATAGCCACATTCACACTTCCCTCCTCCAAACCAACAGCAGTTAGACCTAAGGCTCTGGGGGCTCTTCCATCTCTGCCTCACACAGGGAACATGGAAATCCTGCAATGCTTGTGCAGAGCTACAGATCCTAATACTCCTAGGGCTGGGAAACCGACATAGGAAGACTGTCCCCAAAAAGTTGTTCTCAAAGTCTGAGTTTTTAGCTGAGAAAGAAACCACTCAGGGTTTTTTACCCTGAAGGGAGGGAGTTAATAAATCTGTGAGGGTTTTCACATTCAGTTAAATCCAAACTTTGTACCTGGCAAACTTTAGTGAAATTCTATTTTATCAAAAACCCTCATGGTCATCTCCATTAGAAATGTAAGTCTTTGCAGACTGCAAGTCTTTGCACCCGCTGAAATCAGAGAAAAAATAACCTTTGACTTCGATGGCACCTTTCACTTCAACCAAAGACTTGTGTCCCATTAGGGTTTCATGGAGAAATGACAAGACAAGGACAGGAGAATTTGTCACATGGGATGGTGAAAATTTGTGATATAACCCTACAAGCATAGGAGCTTTAGAGATGAACTCCTGACATGTCTCAAAATAGATTCAAGTTTAATTTTATTGAAAGATGCCAATAAAATTATCTCCTGTATTTTCCCTGGTTATTGATTGTGGTGACAATGATAGAAAACAAACTTCAGTGGTCCACTGAGTTCTTGTTCTTCTTCAGGAAAGGTGGTAAAATATGAAATGTTGCATATGCAAGTAGTCATAGATAATTAGAAGTTGTAGTACATTCACACCATATCACTGCACTTGTTTACAGAGCATTTAGAAGGTCTCCAGCTTTTAGAGAACAGATTTTCACAGCCTGCTCTCCAAAGCAAAGTTTTGAATAGTCCACTTTCCCAGGATCAAAACCTAAAGTTTTATTTAAAACAAGTTTCAGAATATCCTTACGCATAGCATATTAATTTGAGGGTATCTGTAAAAAGAAATAGTCCCATCAATAAGTATAAAACCTATGTTTAAAAATCAGCTTTTCCCTTCAGAAAGAGACCGCAGTAAAAATCACGTGAAATGTTTCAATGACTCTTCTTCAAGCACACTGCTTTGAAATGGCTCTAATCTAAAGTGTCTGGAGAGATGGAGTGACAAGGAATTATCAAGTAACAGACAGGAACATTAAAGTGAATAATATGTTCTTACCCAGTAGAGCTACCATCATTAGCAAAACCATGATGTGTTTCACAGCCTTTCTTTTGTAAAAATAGAGGAGAATGCAGAATATTAGAATTTCTAAAATCTGAAAATAAAAGAAAAGAAAGTTAGAGCTGTAAAACTATGTAATGAAGCTTCATTTAAAGTCTTTGAGATGTCACATTCATTTTTGCTGCTCTATATGTTCAAAGCAAAGAATGGCTTTATAAAATATCTTATGCTAAAAAGAAAAATCTATTGACAGTTGACTGAGCTATCAAACAACTGTTGTCATTTATCTTTCCTGTTATAGCAAAAGTTAAACTTTGAGCATTTTTTATATCCTCAGTTTCTCATTACCTCAGTCCAACCCCCTGGTAGTTGCAGGTAGTGGCAGGCAGTGCCAGGCAGCACCAGCTTTGGCTGAACCAGGTCATCACAGCTGGCTCAGTCCATCACCCTTCTCTTGGTCCTCATCATTTCATCATTTCTTCTCTTACTAAAGCTACAATAAAGCTCCACTGTCATCTCCTCCTGCTTAAAAGCAAACCAACCCACCAAGAAGACACATCTGAAAGGAAACAGCCAAGCAAAACAATCAAAAGGACACTGGAGTCCCTGATGGCAGCTCTGGAAGGGGTGCACAGGTCGGTGTGCATGGCCTCCCCTCCCTCCAGGGGAAACCCCAAGAGCAGCCATGGTGTTCGGCCAGAGATGGCAGTCCTGTGGCCAAACCCAGGGAGATAAATGATGTTTGCTTTTCAGGGCTGCTGTTAAAGTTTACTTAGCTCTGTCAAGTCTCACATACTGAGCTGGAAATCCAAACAATTAGTTCTCAGTGCTGCCCAGCAGCCTAACTATTCTTCTGTGATTCTCTGCCACTTGGTGACTGACCTACAGGTCATTTTTAATCAGAAGACAAGGGAGAGTCTGTGACAATTAAGTTACACTGCAAGCAGAGTCCATGGCTCCTAACAGGGGCTCACATAGCTGGGGTGCCCCAGCTGCTGCTTAAAATTGTTTTCTGAGAACTACCCAAAACAGACCTTAGTTTCATCACTGATAGTGTGATGCTGTAGTGATAAATATGAAGTCCAGGAATGGGAAGGACATAGATTATATCAGCTTCACGTACTCTGTTTAGAGGAAATGAAGGAACTTTACCGGCTTACAATCATCTGTGCTATTACAGCTAATCTCTGCTGAGGTCTCCTCAAGCCCACATATCATCAACATTTTTTAATAATCATGTTTTCCATGTTTCTAAGCTCTACTAGAAGGCACCAAAACAAAATACCACATTGGCTGCCTCAAATGCTTTCTGGCATATACAGGATGGTCTTCTAGGCACTTCAAAAGAAAAGCAGAAATGTTTTGAACCTGACTTTGCAGAGATTAAATATTAACAACCCAATTCTTACTATGCTTCTGTTTAGGGAAACCTAAGAGCTTCATCTATGATTTACGTCTTCTGTAGAGATTCCAAGTGCACATAAGCAAAAGAGAAAAAAACAAACTAGAGTAGTCATTCTTGCTCAGACATAATCATGCTACTGCAGAGACTCAGAAGGTGACTCAAAGTTGTCTTGTGGGAATAGGGGCTATTCTGCAGAATATAGCAGTGGAGTGCCACATGGGGATGGTTTACCACCCACAGAGAGCATTCTGAACCATTGGAGCTTTGTATTTCTCAGCAGACCACACTTTGGAGCTACTTTTAGAAAGATTCTTGGACTGTGTTGTACTTCTGTACTGTCTCCTCATTGTATATTTAGACAGGAAATTCTGCGGCTTCTGCTGCACTTTTTGATATCTCAACAGCCAACCTGTGCTAGGCATTTTATAACCAGTTTTGAAGAGCATGTTCCCTGTCCAAAGAGGAAGTTTACAGCAGGGTTTGCTTGATCTTTCAGGAGCATACCAGGGTAATCAAACTGGTATCTCAGTCTCTTGTGGAGCCTTTGACTTGTCCCCTTTCCCTGGTCAGAGGAAGCTCAACACAGATGAATGCACAGAATAGAAGGAACATATAAAGTTTTAAATATTGTTGAGTCAAGATTTGCTGTGTATTTGCTCTGTCCTTCCCTACAACCTATGCTATACATGCAGAATTAGATGCTGGCTGAGATAGGGAAAAGAAATAAAAGAGAAACAAAGTTCAGAGGTTACCTACAACCTCCTCACAATGTCTCCTAAGAAGAATACAGCACATTCTTCCTACAAATTCAATTGTATTCTTGAAAACTTGTCCTGAAATTAAGTTCAAAAAGTCCTCAGGTGGGGAAAAGCCCTTTTCCAGGAATCTGTTGTTTTCAAGAAAATGTGAATGGTATATCACACAGAAATTTCTGGTGTCACTGAGTGTGGATAGGGAGTTTTCTCTCTCCACCATTTATACATAAATGGGTGAATCAACAATTTAAAATCAGTCTCTAAAATGTCAGGCTACTTTATCATCTATAAGTGGAACTGCATGGTAGTGGGTGATATTCAGTAGAAAAGAAAGAGCATTGATATCTCTATTTTGAACTCCCTCCTCTTACTCTGCTGACTGCATGGACTTCTTGAAGCTCTAGTAGATGCTGAAGCTATTCTTACTGAGTACCCCAAAACCCTTGGGTATTGCCTTCAAAAGCCTCTCTGCTGCCTGATTAAAAGTACATGTTGTGAGTTATACAGCATGAATATTAATTTTTTCCACTGAGCTGAATCAGCATCTTCCAAGATCTTTTAAAGGGCACAAAAAATTGAAAGAGAGTTTAAAATGCACAGCAAATTGAAAGAGAGGATTAATGTGTTTCATGGTAGCATGTGATTTGTGCTTAATCGGTAGTTAATGGATAGTTAGATGCATGTAAATTCTGCAAGCTGGCTAAAAGATTAAGGTCCTTAAACTGCCTACTCAGTGGCTTTCTAACTGAGATTCCTACTAAGAAAAGCCTGGGCACTAAGACTCTAACTTGAGTGAGTCCCTTTTCTGGGAAATAGTAACTGCTTCTGAGGCTCCAATATTGCATTTTTACATTCGGCTAGAGGAAAACATTTTCAGCTTTCCAGGGGAAAAGAGGGACAGAAATTCATCCTACTCACTCTGGTCTTGTTCCAGATGTTAATTAAATACATCAAATAAGATATATGATGTTTGAAGTTTGTTTAAAGACACTTTAATCAAAATGTTATTTTTGTATTTGAATTCTATCTCAAGTTCAGATTAACCTAAGTGGCAGTGAAGTAGGGCACCCCTTCACATCTCAGCTCCATACAGAGCTCCTTTCAGCCAGGCTTAACAACATGGGAATAAAACAGAGAGATATGAAAGACAAAAAGTAGAACCAAGAACATAGCCTGATTTTTAAAATCACAATTCCACCACATTCCAGAAAAGCCCTGAAACTTAGAGGTACAGGCAGACAAGGTGCTATGAATGCATATATAGGAAATTTAAACAGTACCAATATTTAGGTTTTCCCTCAAGTTCCCCAAATATCAAAATCTTTCCACTCTTGTTAATCCTGCACAATTATGACTTTCCCCTGACATGAAGTTAAAAACTATCTTTTGTTGCTGCACATTTTCAGTTTGGATTCAGTAGGATGATGGGGGACTTTCTCTCCTTTGAAAGTCACACAATTTATCTTCAGGAGCAGTTTTGCTACCACTAATTTATAATGCTATAAAAAGCCCAGTAACCCCAGTTTCCTGAGTAAGGGAGTAGCACGAACCAGATACTCACTGAATATACCAAAAAAGGCCAGCTCACTAAGTAATTCTGCACTTGTCTTGCTGTGAGCTCTTGAGGTACACTTGGAGCAAATGTGACCAACAAGTATATCCCTGTTATTGTCAGCGTTCCTCCTTTAAAGAAAAGGACACGTTACTTTGGCAATACAGTGCTTGGTGATCATAGTTATACTTGACTTCCATCTGATTAGGAAATAGTTTCTAGAAGAAACTAGAAACAATTTAAACAGATCTATACTTAGTCAATTGGATTGCCTTGCACTTGTGGTCTTATCTAGTCTAATTTTTACTAAAGGCTCAAAGAATTTTGGAAATGTGAAAAAAAGCTGTCAGTAAAGCCACGTGAATTAGGGTACCAACTCAACAATGCAATTTCAAGTGTGTCACAAAGGAGGATTAATCCTTTGTATTTCCCCCAGGCACAAAGTTCATCACACAAACTTAGCCTAAACTGAAAGGACAAGTTTCCTACTAGTGCAGTCAGCTAGATGATTAACCAGTGTAAATAAACATGACTGTGCCAAAGTCACTGTGGCCACAGAGATGTGCACAAGCCACCAACCTGCCCTGGAAGCATCAGATGCAACACACATGTGCCACTCCAGTGCTCAAGTGAAGCTGTCACAGGGCCAACATTCTGGCTGCTCCCTGTTGCATTTGCAGATCTATGAACTGTTTTATAAAAGGATGATTTGCAATAGACTGTTCAGCCACTAGGCTGCCAGGGCCCCGTTTCAAGGCTGAACTTGCATTATTATGCTTTTAATAAAAATCTGCAAGTTCTGCCTTGTGGACATCTGCCTGTGACAAACACAGATGTTCGCTGAAGTATCAAGATAGAAGTGAGATGATCCCAAGATCATAAACTGTATTGGATTAAGGAAGACATTAGCTAATCAATTTTTCTTCAAGTAATCTTTAAAATTCTTGGTAAAGCTATAAATCGGTGAGGAATGCAGGGCTCAGGAATACAAAACAAAGCACATCCGGAGGGTTTTGTTGGCACTGCTATCTCAAACAGCTCCCTTGGAAAAGCAGAACTGTGTTATATTTATGTGCTTGCAAAACCATCACCATATTTCCCATCGTACAGCTCATTCTTATGGAATGTAGCAACATTGTTAAATCCATCTTGCAAAGTCAAACTCACAGAAATAAAATAAATCAGCTGAATACCAGTTAAAGCAACACACAGTGTTTAAGGCCATAAGGGAAACATGATCAGTGAAGGGAGGGGGGATTTGAATTTAGCAGCTGAGCTGGCAAACTTGGATTCCAAACCTAAATAAATCGTATATAGTATTCCTGGAACGATACTGAACAGATCTTTCCAACACATTCATGAGAACAGCTGTCCTCACTACAGTTTGGACAATCAAGCCTAGATTTTAGGAGCCCACAGAAATATCAGGTGCCCTGCATCAGGTGCACTGTCCCAGCTGAGGTGGCTTGGTGTAAAGCCCAAACCCTGAAACCTGGTTTTCTCTCACTATTGCTGCATTCAAGGGGAGCAGTCTTGATAGGCAAAAAAATCTTGGACACAGGCAAAAAGTTGTCAGGCTTTTACAGCGAAGACCACATTTCCCAGCTGAACACTTGACAATATGATTATTTGTTTTTTGAAGTGATAAAACTAAAACTAAAGGATAGTTATCACTTTAAATTGAGCTTGAATTTTTGTGCAATAGCTATGCAGTAGGAAAAAATATCTTATATTTGAATAAGTAACTCAATAACTTCCCTGATTTTATTAATTCTGTGTTGTACTCATAAAGATAATACTAAAGACAGCCTCAGGGGCAAAAATAGAAAATGAAAATAAATTTGAGCAATAAGGGCACATAAGGAATGAATTACAGTTATAAGAGCAGAGGATTTGGGAATACAGTCTTTTCCTCATGCATTGAAGATTCTCTTCCTTTTTATCACTTTTTCCCAATTTTGAAAGTATCTGCCTTGAAACACTTGCTTGGGAAAGTGGGAGTGTGAAGGTGGGGGGCTGTGTGAGAGTTACAGCTTGCTAAGCATATGGCAGCACACGTCTAAATTAGCAAATGCTTACTTACCCAATATATCAGCAGTCCTCATGGTCTTCTTTAGGAAAAAGACAGAAATAAATGCACTACCTAGAAGAGATATATAAAGATTTTTATAAATATACATATATTTGTTAGAATATCAAGTGCTACTGCAGAAACCTGCCCTGGGACAAGTTTAAATATATCTCATGGGTGTTGTTGTTGCACCATACCATGATATAAACAGCCAGCAGTCCACTCCTGCAAGCCACCAAAACTCACTGTCTGTAAGATTTCAGATGTATCCAGCAGGCTCTTACATGGTTGAAAAGATGCAATGCCCTCCTTATTTCCCACCCAGGGGCACTGCTTGAACTGCTCTGATTCAGTCGTGTGTGGAAATGTCAGGAAAACTGGGCACTGATCAACCTTACTGTTTCACTGCCCATTTGGCTACCAAGTCTCTGTATGGACGTGCTCAAGGCAAATTGCATCACAGAGCAATAAAATTCTGCTTCTTTAGTCTTCAATGTATTAGAAGCTTATAAGCAAAGTAACAGCAGTACAATTGAGAAGAAAGTCACTGCAAGTACATAGTATTTAGCATGAGCTAAGTGGTCATGATGCCTGCAGGCAAACAGGGAGAAAACCCACACATGTACGGGAGCACTCTCCATGGTCTTTCACAGTGACTTGCACTGAGGAAGGAGAAAACTGTGAGTCCTAGAAATGATTTCCTGTTTTCTGGGAAACACTTTCTCTTGTTCAGCTCTTGCATCTGGCCTCTGCCAGCTCGTAGTCCTGCCTCCTCAGGATGGGCAGCAGTGGGGGATGAGCAGCAGCAGTGGGGGATGCGCAGCAGCAGTGGTCAGGGCAGGTTTTGTGGTTAGCAGCTCAGTGGGGACATGTGCTGGAGAGAAAGGAAGGAATGGCTTTGAACTTAGGATGGATGAGACTGGGAGACATGGCTCTAGCCCAGCACACAACAGCTACCTCTAAAAAGAAGAAAAAGAGGCTGGATAAAAGAGATAAGTAATGTCCTTTGTGAGAGGTGCATCAGCAATGTTAGATTCATTCAGAAAGCTCAAAGAAAGACTGCTCAGGAGGAACAGTGAAGGAACACATTGAAACAGTCATGGGATGCTGCTACAAGAGCTCTCTACTTCTCTACAGCATGGTTTATTCTTGAAATAACAATTCATTTTTATAACTATTTTTGCCTCTTTATCTCTATTGTTCTCATGGAAAACTTAATTCGTGGTTAGCTAGTAGATGTACTCTAGAAAAATCTAGAGAGGTTCATACCAAGAGGTAAACAGAGAACTGGAATTCAGCACCAGGCCTCTGTTTTCCAGTCAGTAGAAAATCAGAGAGAGCAGAAGTCATAAAATTAAACTGTAGCAAGAGTGATGGGGATCTGTGCACACGAATAAGCACAATAAAAGGATCTTCAACTGAAAATGCCTCACTGAAATTAGGTTGCCTGATATGGTTTTCTTTAATCAATTTTACAGGGATGACTTTGCTGAAGACACTGAAGGTATCCAGGCAACACTGGCAATAGAAGAGCTACCTAGGTTTAGGAAAAAGGGAATAAAAAAATGGTAAAGAAGCAGCAGCATCCAAGATAGTGCAGGATTTAATTACTGCTCTGTCTCCCTGCTCTCACAGCTTTTACAAATCCCACCTCAAACTACTCACCTAGATAGTCTCTGTCACAGCAAAGAGTTGCTGCTTAAAGCACGGATACCTCAGTGATTTTTTTGCTGTTCTTTTTGTTCGTTTGTTTGTTTTGAGTACCCCATGTCTGGACTCTCTGCCTTCAGCAGAGGTCTAGTAAATGCAATTCCACTGTTGGCATCCAATCTGGGGTAAGATGAGTTATGCCCAAATGCCAGCTTACAGAGACCCCAGCCTCTGAGGCTGGCAGTGGGCACAAGGAGCTGCTGGAATGCAGCCAGGTAATGAAACCTGTCCCTCTGCTTTAATAATGCATTCAAATGCAGCAAGCCCTGTCTCCAGAGATAGCTGGTATTGCACCAGATCATGAGCTTAACAGAATCTATGTATAATTAATACTCTATGAGGAAGAGTAATATGTAAAGGAATCTAAAAATAGGAGAGGTTTTAAGAACACATATTAGACCATCTGGGAGTAGAGAAAAAGCTGCAGTAGGAAGGGAGGTACAACACCAAGGTGAATGAGGCCCAGGAGATACTCTGAACACACAACACAGCTGCCTCTGGGGTAAGCTGCCAATGCTCCAGTTGCACTCAAGTGAAGAAGAAAAGGAAATGGGGTAAATAAAAGAGAATAAGGAGAGAACAGTTGCACAGACCTGATGAGATGCTAGAAGACATACATGACTGATGAGAAGCCTCACAAACTCTGGCTGTTACCTCCAGAACTAAACTTTAGGTAAGTTATGGTAGCATGGCCAAGAGAATGTGATATTTTAATTTGACTTTTCTTAGTTTTCTGGGGTCTAAGCTCCCAGGTTTGACCATGGGGTATTCTTCCATATTCTTCAGTTTTCGAGGTAGGCTTGAATCAGATTAAAGCAAAGAATCCCAGAGCTGATTGTCTTGTTGCAGATGGGCCAAGAAGGAGGAGTACAAGAGGAGCCTTGGGAATGCAGGCTGGCATTTGCCACTTTTGCCTTCTGCTGGCTTTGCAGCCTTTTCTGGCTGGCAGGACAAATGACAGACATCAAAGTGCTCCCCAGGAGCCCAGAGAGAAATCCAGAGCCCTCCCAGCTGCTCTGCTCCTCCTCCTGGGCTCCTCTGTGCTCCCACTCACAACCCTGGGTGCCCTCAGTTGCTCAGGACATTAACTCCTCCCAAAGAGGCAGTTTAGGCTCTGTGCCAGAGGCCAACACACACTCTCTGCTCTGCTCTCTGCAGGGTGGCCTCCAAGCTGATCCTGCTTTGAGCAGGGGCTTGGGTTAGGCACTTGTGGGGTTCCTTCCAACCTGAGTTCTCCTAGGACTTGTGGACTCTTTGCAGGAGAGCACGTGGGCATCCAGAGGCTGATAACTAGGCCTACCAGATATATGAATACAAGCCCTTACTGTATCCCAAATGCAGACCTGCTGAAACTCCCCAGACTCTCCTCTCTTTTCCTACCCTCCCTCAGACCACAGGTCAGGTGTCTTGCATCTTCCCACCTCTCCTCCTCTCTACCAGTGATGTTCTACCCCCATACTTTCCTCCTAGCCCATTTGCCCTTGATTTCACCCCATCACCACAGTGTAAGTTTAATTCCCTACCACTTAGCCCAAATTTTTCCTTTCCCGTGCCAGAGCTCTTTTGCTCTTCCTTCACAAAAACTGTGCTTCCTCCTCCTCCTCCATTATACTGATGTGAGAAATAAACTATTGGACATTATGTTTCAGTCTGTGAGTGAATAGACTGAGGAACTTGGGCAATTGCTGTGCTGAAAAGTATGAATACATCTTTGCAATGTTTTTTTTTTGTTTGCTTTCTTTTTTTAAAAAAAATGTAGTTATAGAAATTGAGATCTGTGTCAAAGTGAGGAATAGTTTCCTTCTTGTTGTTTTTTCTTTTTTTTTTTTTTTTTTAATTGGTTAGCAATAGAATACAACAATACAGAAACCCAGACAAGAAATCGTGTCAAAGCTGGCAGTAGCTTGGGAACAAAACAAGCAATTTATCATTGTTCTGAAGCCTCGCTGGTTTTGAACCCTGGCTTTGGGAATGCAACACATGGACAGCCCCAGGCCTGGATTATCAGCCTTCAAGACATCAAGGCATCCTTGGCATCTGAGAAGACTTGGGTACTTTTGGGTGAATTAGAATAATTTTTTAGCTTTTTCACTAATTATTAAGGTAAAATTTCCAAAAATAGGCAGAGATCTAGCTCCCATTCCCAGTGACAATGGTGGCCTGCTAGATGAAGAGAAGGGCAGAAAATCTGTAGATGATCTGTTAAGGATTAAACATCACAGAACCAGCACATCCTAAAATAATCCTTGAGTTTGTTTCATGCCTTGATTGCATGCTTGTATTAATACCCATAATCTGAGAAGTAAATAGGTCCTTTAAAATGCTTGTATCCACATGACAGAGCCTTTCTTAATGCTCATGAAATTAAAATGGAAAATGTGATTTGACACTACATCAAAATCATGATAAATAAAAACTGTTGGGTGGAGAAGGGGGGAAAAGGTTTGTTCAGGAACTTAATTGTTATCTAAAAATCTTCATCTTTTCATATATCAGCATAAACCAGGCTGGTTACATTCATTATTGAATGAATATATTAATTATATATTGAAAGATCATATATTCACATATATTGAATAAATGTGCACTCATTGCAGCGTGTGAACTTCAATGTAAATTGAAAAAAATGATAAAAAGATTTGAGGTTTTTTATGGTATACAATTAAGTGACTTGAGGAATGGCTGTAATGGTGCTACACATAGCTCTGTCAGCTGCTCATTCTCTTAGGAGAGTGATCATTCACAATTATCTCCATATGTAGGTTTTCTCCAGCACAAATAAAAATAAAAAGCAGTGTGATGTGTGGGTTCTGCCACTAGCAGACAATGAATGGTGAGAATCCAGCTCACAAAATAACTCCTCTGCTTCCTAGACATGAAAGCTGCAGTTAGGATTGGGTTGTCTTTGTTTCTTTAAGAAAGGGATAACACACAACAGAAGTAAAAGACAGAAAACACATAGTGATTCATGGTATGTATTCTGTGTATTTTGTCCAATCCAGCCATAAAAAACTCAAGTGTGTGTACAGGATTTATTTTTCCTATGCAATACTATTTCACTATAATTCACTATTGAGATGTTTTCCTAATACTCAGGCCATTTATGAATATGATCTTTTTACCTCTTGTTTTTACTGTCTAATTTTACACTAAATAGTTTTTGTAACAATTGTTCATAACAGTTATATACATATATCTGTTCATAACAGTTAATAACAATATTATTATATTCTTTCTTTTCCTCTTTTCAATTTCTAGATGAGCTTTATGCACTATTTAAAAAGACTAATGCTCTCCTTACAAATGCAAAGACTGCTTGCACTACTGTCTTCTCCAACAGTTTTCAAAAAAAAATCCACAAAATTTCATATTTGCTTTAAATGTTAATTCTCTTAAGCTTAACAGATTCAGTCAGGTAAAGGCATTTAAACTCACCCATGCAGAACACTTCACCAGTGGTCAGGATGAAATACCAAGGGAAGAGAACTAGATATGACTCAAAGACTATTGCACCTCTCTCAGTTTGTGCAACAATATTTCACTTTGAGACCAAGCATTTACTCTGTACTATGCAATTTAAGGGTGTGCTTCCATCTAATCAAGCAGTTTAAGTTCACCCAGTTGATTTTGCCCCAAATCATTTGAGCAGTGCTCCAGTTATGAGGATGCAGTTGCTGGCAGTCACATTCCAAGATGTGACCTCAGAATATGCTTTATGTGAACAGACTCTCAGCCTGTCTTCCAAGCTGAAGTGATTCAGGACCCTCCCAGTACTGAAAACTTGAAGATGCTTCAATCCATCCCCAAACAGAAGCTATTGTGGTCTGCCACAGAGTCAGCAAAATCTGAAGAGACGATGAGTTACATGGTGCACTTAATTGCTGCAGCTCAAATGACACCTGGGAACAAATTCATTACATCTAATTGACTTCTAAAAGCTCTTCTTAGTTTATATGATGGAGATTAATGCTGCACTGAATACAGAGAAAGACATTACAGATACCTCTTGACAGCTGTCTTGCACACTGAACCTGTAACATTCCTAACACGATCAAAGATTAGTACTGGAAAAGTGGTGAACAAAACATGAAACTTTTTTTCCCATCTGAGAAACTGCTCAAAAGAGAGACCATTAATTTTGGAACCTGGATTATAGGACATACACCCTGCAGAGAGAAGGAAAAACCCTGAATATCCTTTTTTTTTTGCTTTTTCTAGACAAGTACAAATCAAGTATTTTAAAGAAGAGTTTAGTGAATGCTTCCTAGGTATCATTAGTAACAGAGTCCTCAGAATTCCAAGTTCTTGGGTCCCAAAGATGTTACATTACAGTGTGCAGGAGAAATCTATTTCTACAAGAGTATCTGAGAATCTTCCTAAAGTATCTCAGGAATATAACTTTTCAAAGCCTGAAGCCTCCCACTGCTGTTTACAGGAGCATATAAAAATGCAAAGGGATCTTAACAATGTCAGGCTGGGTGAGGCAAGTGTAAAACAACTCCCCACAGAATGGTGAACACTGCAGAAGAAATGGTCTCCAATGCCACTGACTCTTCCTTACCTTTCCCATCCCCAAGTCATTTCTGCAGGCAAAAGCAAGATGATGAGCTAAAAAACACTGCAACCTAAAATTACCCAAGCTACGTGTAAAACATGAGCTTTACTTTTTAAGTATAGGAAGTTTCTTAATGATCACATCAAACATGTATTACTCCTCCACTTTTAAATTAAAAATTTACTAATTTCTCCTCTTGAAGAAAACAACTGCTGTCTTCTCAAACTATTTAAAACCCTGAACAGATGTAGAGCTTGCATCATTGCAACCACACACAGAAATACTTCCACTGTGTAAGAAGAAAAATATATCATTTTTCTCTCTTAATCCTAAAAAAAAAAAAAAAAAAAAAATTAAATCTCTTGGCGCCATGCCAATTCATGATCTTTGGTGCTCTATTCTTTTAAAAACAAGACACTGGAACAATCCAGCTCAATAGAAAAAGGCACAAAGTTTTCACTATTTAATTGATACCAGGTTAAGTGCAAAATCCAGTTGGATGTAGTTAAATGTGGTGGCAGAGCATAATAGATGTTGGCTCCATCTATTTTAAGATGCTTCCCATCTCAGAAGTCTGGATATGTATGATGGGTACAGCCCAAATCCATTCTGGGCAGAGACTCCAGTCTGCCTTCTCTTCCTCCAAACCCTGGTTTCCAAGCAAAGGAAACTCCCTGCAAACCCAGAGACCTGCAGAGAATCCCCTGGATGCCTGGACGTACTGCAAAGTACATTTCTCCCCAGCACACCCTATGTCCTGCATTTCCAATGGCACTGAGAGTCAGCCCTTACCATATGGAACATGTTGACACTGAATTTGGGAACAAAATGCTTCTCAGAAGGTTGGACTTGGGGTTCAGGTACGCATTTGGAGTTTGTTATCAAGTACTTAATTTGTTCATTAAAAAAAATTTAATTTATGAAAGACATTCAACAATACCACAAAAAAACCTGTGAGCTAGACTCTGCAAAGGCCACTCCCACCACTTAAAAGTGGTCACAACTTAATGAGAAAACGATTTCTTGTCTTTTAAACTGGAAAACCTGCTGCTTAAACTACCCTTGGTGCAGTTGCTAGCAGATGATGCACACGTGACTTGGGCAGTTCGTCACTGCCCTAAATGATGAACTCTTTTAAAATTGAAGGGATGCTCTCTCTCTGGCTTTAATTTCAGAAGACAGGAATGTATCTTGTAGTAGGAAGTGTCACTGGGAAGTTATTGCTGTAATTGACTGTCTGCACGATTTTTACTTGCTCTTCCTTAAGGGAATGTTTGCTAGACTAAATAAAATTTCAGATATTTCTATTGTTTGGGCTGTGAAATGGACACTGTCAGCCGATTTATGGGAATGGAATATAAGATATTAAAGTGCTTTCTGAGATCTTACAGAATAAGCATTCTGAGACAGTTTAAAAAAATAAAATGGGTGATAATTTTGGTAAGATATAACAGTTAGGAAAATGGTTTCTTGGTATTTATTGTAAGTGAGGAAAGTGTCAAGTGCTGGAATCACCAGATGCAACATTTCTTCACTTTCTGAAAAAGCAAAGAAGGAATCTGCTTGGATAAAAATCTACCCTAAATGTGATCTCATCTTTTACAGTTTAATAAATATTGGGATTTTTCTTCCTACTCACTGCTTTTTGCCTTTTCTTTCTAATTTTCTATATTTGCATTTTATTCAGCTTGGACAACAAATGAGATTAGCCAATGTTCTTTGATGTTCAGAGAAGTTCTGACAATGCCTAAAATTGTTACAGATGTAACTACTGCCATCAAAATCACACTGGGGTACATCATATTAATTTACATTTTCATCTCAAGTAATATGTCATTCCTTTCTTTGAGAACTCTCTCTCGCTATGATGAACTAACATGGCTTTATATCTGAAATTCTGCAACAGAATTTAACATTGAAGGTTGGAGTAAATTGCCTCCAGTTTCCTTTTCCCTCTCTCTCTGCTAAATTGAACCTATATATTGTGAGCAGCTTCCTTTCACTACAGCTAGGCATTCCACTGGGAAGGCATTTCATCTTTTCTACCTTCCCATGGAGAGCCACTCACTGCAGTGTCACTTCCAAGCATGCAACTGGTAGCTGGAGACCATGCAAAGCAATCACTTGCCAATAGCAAGTAAATGAGCTCCAGCATATTCAGAACTGTTGGGATCTCTCAGTCCTGGATGATTCAGCTGTGGATGTGAAGTGACCAGGTTAAGGGATGTAGCTGCACCCTCTATTCCTGTTTTTACAGCTTCCGGGCAATATTGCCCTGTCCACCCTGCTTTACACTAGCACAACATAAAGACATATTTTCAAATGTGTGTCACTTTGTCAAAGAAACAGACATCTCATACCTGAGCACCTTAATAACAAAAACCTCCACATGAAGTAAAGAGTGAGATCATGTCTCTTCAGCTAAAGTCCAATTAATCTGCACATAAAGGAACAAATGAACATGTTTAATAATGTCCATAAATGTACTAAACATTTCTGGAAATTTCTAGGTCCTTTCTGTCACACACCGCAGAGTGTCAAGCAAGTTTGCCCACGTCAACATGAATCACGGTGAACAGGCAGCAGACACTACTTGGTGTGATGGTAACACAGCAAATGTACTCAGGATCAGAGCACAGCTCTGAGCATGCAGCAGGATGCCAGTCCCCCTCTTTGGGGGCTTGCAGAACTGGCAGCCCTTACAGCACTGGGCAGGAGCTAGCAGAGCACAGTGACACAAAAGACAAAACCATGGAAAAAGAAATATATTAGAAGAGTCTTTGATTTAAGTAGACAGTTTTTGTCAAACTGTCAGCTTATGTAGTTATATGAATAATTTCTTTTCAAACCACGACATTAACATTTTCCTCTTGTGTTCCTGCCGCAGTTTCTGTGGTATCATTCCTCTAGCCAGAAGCAAGCATTTGATTGAAGCACATACCCGAGCAAGAAATGGCAAATGGTCTCACCTATGACAGAAACAGATCCCAGTGGAGCCACCAGAGCGATGGGGGCGAGGGCATAGGCTGAGAAAGTGCCCAGCTCTGCCAGCCCCAGGAGGGCAATGCCACAGCACCACAGCTTGCTCCTGTAGCACAGCTCCGGCTCTGCCCGGCAAGCCAGCCGCAGGTGAGCGCATTTCTAGAAAAGGAATTACCAGGAACAGGCATGAATAGAAAAACTTCCATTGTGTTCCAATGTCTGACACAAGTGGAATAATTAAGGGGGCTGTCAACTTCAAGTTCCAGGTGCGTCAAGGTTTTCTTTTTAAACATGACTTTGAGCTTGTTGGTGCAGAGCTTTGTGTTAACTCGGTGCTGTTTCAGATGTGCTTTCTTAGCCGTGCTGGAAAAGGCTGAAAATTTAGGCCTCTGAAAAAACCTGAAAAATGCTAAGTGAACACTAGCTAGTGCTTCCTAGCTATCACTGCACACATCCGCTCCTGTCCCAAAGCAAAGCTCAGCAGTTGTGCTCTGAATCTGGAAACACTCAAAGGCAGGAGATGGGGCCGAATCAGAACTGTGGCAGCAAACCGGGACAGGGAAACAGACAACAGGGTGTTCCTGTCTGTGAAACCTATCCTCACCACAAATCTACTTTCAAAATGAAAATGGCAGCACTTACTCACATCTTCTGTAGGGAGGACTCTAAATTAATTAAATAGAATTTATGATTTGGTGACAGTCTCCTGTTTTACCTTAGAAGGAGATCATAAGTAAAGCATTATTTTCTAAAGAAAAAACAGTTGGCAGAGTTATAACATATACTCCAGTAATACTTCATGAACACTTCCTTTACATGAAGAAGGTATCATTGGCACAAGTTGTAATTGTTTTTTCTCTGGCTGTACAGCAATAATGTGTATATAGCAAGACAATTTGTCTTTGATCACACTGATCCTCTGAAACAGAGTCCAGGCAGTCTCTATCAAGAAAGTGTCATAACTGGGAATGATGCAATGTTCTGTAGATTATATTTTCCTTTCTTATACTCTGCAGATTATATTTTCCTTTCTCAAATTACTCTCCAGCCTTTCTGCACATGGGTCAAAAAAGGTGGAAATCAAATGATATAGTTATTACAGTACAAATGGTGGTAAAAGAATTGTTTTTTCTCCATCACTTGATATTTGATTTTAGAAGTCTCCCTGCAGAGCCCGGGGAGGTTGCAAAGGATTTTCCTCATACTCCCATCCTTCTCTGTAGGCTACTTGACAGAGCATGGGACCAACAGCAATGTCTGTGATAGCCCATAGTCTTAGTCAGTGCTCTTGTTGAGAAGATGCAGCACTTTGTTGCAGCTTTGTGCTGTGGAACGTGTTCAGGGGATGAAATTCTAGAAGAAAGTTTAGCCCTCCAAGAAGAAAAACTTGTGCCACCCATCCAAAATGGATTTTCCATTTTTATAAACAAAGAAACCCCAATAAAGATACAAATTAAATTAATAGTAAATAATACTAAATTATTATTCAAGAATCTGAGTTTCTGCCAAAAATTAAATAGGACAAATTCTTAACTGAATCCTGAGGGGTATTTTCACCCCAGATTCTTGTAGGATTAACTATTGAAGACACAGTGAGACTGAAAAGCTGTGCAGCAAACACAGTAAGGTGAGCTCAGCAGCCCCCCTACAGCCTTCTTTCTCCAGATGTCTGTCTTCTTTGCACAGTGATGTGTGCAAATGGTATTTAGGTGGAGGCTGTTTATAACTCAGCTGAAATTGCAAATGATGAGCTGTTCTTTAGTAGACAGCCTGCTAGAGAGATGAGAAACAGAATAATGGACTACATGGTCAGAAAGGGACAGAACAAAAAAATTTGGCCTGTCCAGTTAATAGGATGTGAAAACAAATGTGGAGATCTAGGGAAAGTCATTATTCATATTTAGAAGTTATTGTTACTAAATGGAGAAAAACCCAATTTAAAGGATAAAAAAATTCAGTTTAAACTTTCCGTCAAATGGCAATGAGAACCATTGGGTTTCCCTAATCAGCATTTAAAAAGCTGATAGTTCAAATCCAGTAAGGGCTGTTATGATTACAAGTCAGTGGAAGTCTGCTTGTATGCCTTGGTACATCCCCTTGCAAAGCATCTACTTTGGCACCCAGTACCCTCAGCAGACAAAAGATATGAACTCTGAACAATCTCATTATTATGGACAGATGAATTTCCAGTTCACTTTTCTTCACTTCACCTTTATCTTTCCACTTCAACTTCAGAGGTTTTCTTAGAGCCTGTCCTAGTGCTGTCACCACCTGCAGGTTGCAATTCCTGTTGGAAATTCCAGCAGTCATCTCAACTTGCCTACCTCCTCTGGCTAAACAGGTTTCTTTCTATGGGATTCTCCAGCTAATGATGTTTAAATAGAAGGGAATCACTGAAGAACCTTCTAGCTTTATAAATTGGGTTACTATGAACAGAAACTTTCATATTCCACAACTTTGTCTTTCATTCTTTACAGAAAAAGCAAGAAGTAGCTTTATATGAGACTTGTACAACTTCTAAAACACTAGCTAGCAAAACTGCTTCTTCTGAACAATTTACACAACGTCTTCTGTGCTTTAAAAACTTTTGTTAGAAGACCTCAAAATACAACTAAGCCTACAAGATACAGACTATAATGAAAAATTTAACTTTCTACTGAGTATGTATTCTAACTATTAAAACAGAAAGTATTTTATAATTGACATCCTACAATACTTTACCATAGTTGTAAGGACAACACCTTCCTTTACTTTTATGATTTAAATAGTGTTTACTCAGATTATTTTATCTTAATTGCAGAAGAAGAACTAAATTGGCCAAAGTTGTTTTGGGGTCCCATATTGTAAAAACCTTTGTGTCTGTATGCATTTATGGAACAGGTCCTCAGGGAGCTGACTTAGGGAGGTGCCAACCTTGATCTGCTGCCTGTCAGCTCTCGTGAGTGACGTGGTGACTGGCACCGTCTTGGCCACAGAGACCACGAAATGACCAAGCTTAAAATCCTTGTTGAAGGGGGAAAAGTGCAGCAAAACCTCAGCTCTGGACATGAGGAAAGCAGACTTCAGGGTTTTTAGGGACCTAGTAGGAAAAGTCCCCTGGGAAATGTTTCAGTAGTGCTGGGGTCTGTCAGTGCTGGTCACTTTTTAAACATCAGCTCCTAAGGGCACAGGAGCAGCAATTCCCCAGTGTCAGAAGTCAAGCAGAAGGCTGGCTTGGTGAACTGGGATCCTCTTTTGGGTCTAAGGCAAAAAAGGAAGGTGTGTGCCCTGCGGAAGCAAGGTCAGGTGACCTGGAGGAATAAGAGATGCAGCTTGCCACCGTAGGGAAAAAACTTCTTGTGGCCAAAGCTCAACTTGAAGACAGACAGAAATGCGGAGGACAATAAAAATAGATTTTTCAGATATTTAATAGCAAAAGGCAGCATAGAAATAACATCACCTGTTACAGGATGAGGATGGGCACCTCACAAACAGGGACATGGACAAGGCAGAGGTGCTTAATGCATTCTTTGCCTCTGTCTTCAACACAGATGATGGACCAAGGGGGTCTCAGTGCTCTGAGCTGGAGGACCATGGCTGGGAGAATGAGCAAATCCCAGCTGACCCTGAACTTGTGCAGGATCTACTCCTCCAGCTGGATCGCTAAAAATCTATAGGGCCTGATGGGATTCATCCAAGAACCCTCAAAGAACTAGCTGATGTCATTGCAAAATCTCTCTTGATTTTGATCTCTCAGTTGACTGGAAGCTGGTGAACATCGTCCCAGTTTTCAAGAAGGAGAACCCTGAAAAATTCCTGTCAGTCAGACAGGAATCAGAATTGAGACCTGTCAGTCTCAATTTAGTGCCAGCAAAATCATAGAAAAGATTATTCTGGGAGGTATTAAAAAACACCTCGAGGTCAACACAGTCATTGGTCACAGCCAGCAGAGCTTCATGAGGAGAAAGTTCTGCTTGTCAAACCTGACTTCCTTCTGTAACACAGTAACCCACCTTGCTGATCTAGGAAAGCCAGTTAATGTAACCTTTTTGGACTTCAGCAAAGCCTTTAATACTGTCTCTTATAGTACCCTTCCTTAATCCCAGGTTCAGTGAGACCACAAGTGACTCACAGCTGGTGTTTCTTTCTGGCACATTGAAAGGAGGAGGAATTATGAATATTTCTTTTATTCCTGTATGACAATCACAGCACAGAACAGGCTGAGAGCTCCCAACAACTCCCAACTCCCAGCAATTATTGCAGGGCACTGCTAGATTACAGTTCATGAAAGAGAGAAGGTTTAAAAAATGCAACAAAAGTTGCACTTTGAACTTCATCAAAACCAAACTGCAATGTAAGTACTTGCTAAGCATAAACAACTCTGAATAAAGAGAAACCATATCATACCTGTATATTCAAGGAGACACTGATGAGAAAATTTGAAGCAGCAGCAAGTAAAACTCCAAACAGCTGAGTCTGCAAATCACAAGGCAAAGAAATACAAAAATACTTATTAGTTTAAGAAGAGCAGTATAATGGTGGTTTTCTGATAGCACATTATGACCCAATCAAAACCAAATTATTGTACTTCTCAGTCACTGAGTTCATGCTGCAGTGAATAAAGTGGTAAGGAATGCCTTTGCATAGTTGACTATGGCTTAAGTAATAAACAAGTGGGAAGGGAAAGGCATGCTGGTTTTGCTGTCCTTCAGTAGAACACCTTCTTAAATCTCATTAAAGACAAAACTAGGCAGTTGAAAACCACAAACAGGGTTTTTTCCCCCAAAAAAGGACCTAGTTTTCTACATTATCCAGAAGGAAAACCATCAGCAATCAAACCATTGGATAATTGTGTTCCTATTGGAACACAATTATCTTACATGTTAACATACCCACTATTTGACAGGGCAGCCAGGAACACAGGTGTCCTGAAAGTGTCTTTAATGTATTGTGTTATTTCATTATAAAAATTCCTAATCAGACTGTCTAAATTCCACTAAGATTTGCAAGCTTTCTATGAAGCCAAGAAATTAAAAACACTCAAGCAGGATTCATTATTTTGGAAAGAAGTCATTTAAAGATGCCATTTCAGCAAGGTCAAACAACATGTACTTGACAGAGCTCCCTGTCCACTGTCAAAAAGTTCTAACACATTGCAAGCCATCCTAAGTGTATTAAAAACCCATTCAAGGTCACTTCTGTAGTGCTGTGAGGAGCCCCATTAGCTTGTAGAGAAGACAAACATAACCATCAGTTTTTATAAACAAGGTCACGGTAATATAACCCAGCATAACAAAAGTTTCCAGGCTGTAAAGCAGCATCCAACTCTGTGCTTACAGCCTCATGTTTCATACTTACCCAAAAGGTTCCTGAGCAGCTCTGAACAGGCAATGCCTACCACCACAGAGACTGCTGCCCCTCAACACTTATAAAGAGCTACATGTTCCAAAAGCACTTGGAGGGGGGATTGTTGTTGTGGCTAGATAGTTCCCAGACTGAGCAAAGGCATCCCCAAAAGTGTGAAGAAACAACAGCCGTATTACAAACCAAATATAATATTTAAGCCAAGCAGCAGAACCCAACTGTTTCCAGCCCCTCTGTTTCTGCAGTGGCCCAGAGCTGGCAGGAGAAGCAGACAACAGACCTGATCAGAGAGCAGCGCCTGGCTGCCTGCCAGGTGTCACCAGGACATGACTGATGGGTCCAAAGGGATTCAGGGACAAGAAAGCAGTGAGTGAGGGGGCTCCCTCTGCTAACTATTACAGCATCAGTGCCACAGCTTGCATACAAGAAGCATCCAGTGAGAAGCATTACTCAAGATTTTAGCCCATAGCCTCTGGTGCGTGGCCACTGGAGGTCCTTCCCTTCTTGCATCCTCTCCCTGGGATCCAGCAGCATGTTCTGGGCTCTCACACACACTGTGTTCTGGGAACACACCTCCCTGGAGCCAGTGTGTGATGTGACACCTCAGCACAGAGGCCCCTGCAGAGATCAGCACCCACTGTTAGAGGGACACACAGCCTCCTTCCACTCTGGGGAAATGCTGCACATGGACACCACCCTCTGCAGAAACCCAGGGGATGGGGTTTCCTTCCTTATGCCTTAATGCTGTAGCATCAAATCGTGAGCACTGATCTTGCCCAAAGTTTGACCACTTCATCCTGCCCACACAGCAGCTTCAAAAAACAGCAACTAAATCAAAACTGTTTTCTTGCTCCTGAAGACTTGTACTTTTTAAATGACAACATGCTCCCTTGTGAGGAGGTGGAGAAGTGGCCTTGTCAGCCTTGTCATGAAGTGTTTAAGAAAAAGGAGACAGAAGGGAATAGAAAACAGAATCTGCCCCCTCATTTACCCCATCATTTCACTGCAATTACATTAGTAATTGTAACAAATCCCCACTACTCCCAGCTGAGAACTCAGTCTCTCTGTGGCTCTTGTTGTTCCAGAGGCTGATCCTATCGTTATGGCTGCATCTCTGGATGCAACCCCTTGCAGCTCCTTCCTCCCAGTTTTCAGCTGGGGGTCACAAACCTTGCACAGGACTCAGTAGGCAACCAGCACACCACAGAGAAAACACCATTGATGTGAGCCAGACCACAAGAGGGTCTCCATCCAGCTCTTGAATGCAGCTGGTGAGCAGAGGATGAGGTCATGTGTTCCATTGGTCATCTAAAATACTGTGCTAAATCAGATCCATGTGTGGGTACTGATGATGACCTGAGTGTGTGCCTCCAGAGGCTGTGAATCAAATCTCCAGCAGCAGGTTTTCCAATGCCCTGCATCATGGGTGTCCTCCCCAGAACAGCAACTGCTTTTGCACCACGGTGGTTGCTTCACCAGGTACCTGTGAGCTTGGCTCAGATATCACTGGGGAACAGATAAGATTTCTATCATGATGACCAGCCTGTGTCTGAACAGAAACAATGTTACAAAGGTCAATTCTCTTCTTGGAGAAACACAGAATGGTTTGGGTTGGAAGGGAGCTTAAATATAATTTAATTCCAACCTCTCTGCCATGGGCAAGGACACCTTCTACCATGCTGGTCAAAGCCCCATCCAGCCTTGAACATTTCCAGGAACGGAGCATCCACAATTTCTCTGTGCAAACTGTTCCAGTGCCTCACCACCTCATTGTGAAAAGCTTCTTCCTTGTATCTAGTCTAAATCTGCCATCTTTTAGCTTAAAATCCTTATGCTGTGACACTCCTCTGTGCCTAACTTAAGCAACCTCCTGGTCTGCACCCAAGGAAAAGCAGTGCACATGTAGAGGCAGCAGGCTGGGCTCCAAGCTCACTCCCATGGCTCAGGTCACCTTATGGCAATGACCACACGTTTCACCTGAGCGTTGCTGTTGGCATCAATAGTGCAGGGCCTTCCCCAGGGGACTCAGGAGCTCTGCTCAGCTGGGGACAGCACCGTGCTGCCAAAGGCAGGGCTGCACACACCCCTGAAGAGTAAGAGCAGAGCACGATGCCCTAAGGAGGTCAAACATCACATGGATCCATTCAGGGAGATGAGATGAAAGCACAGCAACACCCTGCAGCTACAGCATGGCAAAGCTGTCTCATGTGGGTTCATACCCACACGTGCTTATATTAAATTAAAAAATGGGGGGAAATGCAGTAAAGGGGAAAATTACATTGCAAACATCTCAGGCGATTTCTAATGAACCAGGGTTACCACATACAGCAGCACTCAGAGGAGAAAAAGCATATCTCAGGCTAGGAAAACCATTTATGAGAGACAACCTGCAACTGAAGACAGATCACAAAATTGCTGTACTGCCCTGAAAGCCACCAGAGCCCTTCTGTTCCCATCTTATCATGTGAAAGGCTTCATTATTTGTGCAGTGTCTGCCATTTAACATCCTTCAGAGGCTAAAAGACTGGTGGAACAGCCAATTTAATAAGTAATAAACATGATATTCTCTGAGTTTCCAGTTGTGATATCCAGTTGTGATATCATCCACAGCACTGCAGAGCTTCCCACATATAAGTCTCAAGACAAACCTCAGTTGGGGAATTCAGTTGCAGACACAACTTCAGAGCCATGGTACTGCTTCAGTCAACTAAGGACTTCTACAGGAAAGAGCTTTAAATATTCAAAACTGTTGGCATAAAATGCAAGTTTCTTCATCACTGAAACATCTGTCTGAGCATACAGGCCATTTTGTCAGGCCCCAGATTTCAAACTGTTGACATATTCTTCCAGTGCTTCCAAATGCATGAGGCTTGTCAGAGAAACAACCTTAAGTTTTCCAGAAAATAAGAAACAATACAGAAATTTATTTTACTTCACTTAAATATGTTTTGGAACAAGCCATGAAAGCCACCTACCCACTTTGAAGTCCTTCCTCGATAGCCCCTGAGCACACAGACCATGGACTGAGATTGTGGATCTGCCAGCATTTTCCTTGGTGGCAAACAGGCTTGAGGAATGCTTTCCTCTGGCCTGCTGCTCCCTCACTGCCCTGCTTGAGTGCCTGAAATAATCCATCCAAAACTTACCCCATTACCATTACGTTCTTTATCAGCCACCTGCCAGTGTTTAACACTGAAGGAGGGTGAAAAGTCACAATTCACAGCAAGGGTTTCAAACCAGTGACGCTGTGCAGTTTGTCAGGGGTGACACTGCCCTGTACAGGGGGTGCTGGGGTAAATGAGTTCAAGAAATGGCAAATTTGCCTCAAGCAAGGCACCCTCAGCACTGGCCTGGCACTCCCATCCCAGCCACATGAGGCTCCTGCACAAGCTGGGGTGTGGGGGAGGGAGGTTTGAACCATCAGCCAGGAGAAATCCACTTGTCACGTGGAGGGCAGCACTATTTTGCTATTCAAAATAAGCGAGCAGCAGTGTGGCACTGGCTAGGTATGGTCCTGCTCCCAGCACTCAGGCAGGACCTGATGCTTGTTTACCAGAAAACCTTTTCACATCATTCTGACAGTATTTTAAATTGACATTTTACATGCAAAGTCTCTATTTATTGTCAAAGTAAAATAAGGGTTTTATGGCAAATGAAAGCCAGGCTGAAATCTGTATCTTTGGCAATAATTCTACTAAGTTTATCCCTTGCAGACTAAAATCTGCATTGGAGACTCAGTTATATGGTGAAATGCAATTTATCCATATTACATGTGTGTTTTCCTAAAGCACATTAAACTGCAGTTGCCAGGTCTGTGAAATGAAAACTTAGAAAAAGGAACATAATTTGCACTGACTAAAAGGTATATGCCATTATTTATGGAAACTTGCTATGCCTATAAATTGAACTGATGAGCAGAAAAAACCCCAAACACTTTAAATGTCTGTTGTCAGCTCACTCATCAAGGCTAGTTAAAGTGTGGCTCCTTTTTTTTTGTTGATTTCTCCACGTATTTGTGATCTAAAGGTGTTCCCAACAAATTTAATGGTGTGTACCGTTTCAAAAGCTATGCACCATTTCCAATAACTGGGATTTTGTCAGACCTCAATGGA